TCAGTCTCTTGGGTCGGCCGGCCATCGCAGCTGCTCAAGCCACATGTGCCACTCAAAAAAGGGAAATGCGCACGCTGCGACTGGCAACAGGGTGGTCCCAGTCCACTGCATCTCTTCGGTGCAAGATCCGGTGGGCGACCGGTTCCCGGAGACAACGGTTTCTGTGTATACCCGACCTCTGCAGAGACATTGTTTTAGGAAGGGATTTCCTTACAGTGACAGATATCTCCTTGCATGTGGCGCTTGGGGGATGGACATTGGAACAGAGCCCCACCGCACTGTTCCATTTGTGAAGGCCGTAAAGCAAGCAAGCAGCGAACTCGGGGCAGAAGAATATTCGTACTCCCTGGAGAACCTCTTCAAAGAGGAGTCAACTTGCGCCACCACATCCAGCCATAGTGCTACCGAAGGCGATGGAGACTCTGCAAAGACACCGGGAGTGTATGCTCCTATAAAGAAATTGTTGGAGATCTTTGGGCCAATCTTCACCAAAACTCCCGGCTGCACTACCCTTGCCGAGCACCGAATTGACACAGGAGACAGTCCACCCGTTCGTTGCAAGTTGCGCCGCGTCAATTCCAAGAAACAAAAGATCATTGACAGTTGCCTTCAAGACTTGCGGGAACAGGGACTTGTGCGTTGGAGCACAAGTGAGTGGACCAGTGCACCTGTTCTGGTGGCCAAAAAGTGCGGAGGCTTTCGCCTGGCCATAGACTACCGGCCGCTCAACGCACGCACCAGAGTGCCAGTGTATCCAATGCCCCGAACTGACTGGCTGCTGGCACAACTCGGGAGAGCAGAGTGGTTCTCAAGCTTCGACCTTTCGCAGGTTTTTTTCCAAATTCCTGTGCGCGAGGACGACATTCCGAAGACGGCGTTCATATGCCACCAGGGCACCTTCGAATTTACAAGGATGCCGTTTGGTGTTGCAGGTGGTCCAGCCTCCTTCCAAACGCTGATGGACAGAGTCCTGGATGGAATCAACCACCCATTTGCTATGGCGTTTATGGACGATGTACTTGTGTATTCAGAGACGCTGGACAGCCATGTTGCACATGTCCGAGAAGTCCTGGAGCGCATCAGATCAGCAGGACTCACCATGAACCCCGACAAGGTTCAGGTGTGCTGCCAGTCGCTGAAGTTTTTGGGTCATGTAATAAGCACTGGACAATGTAGGCCGGACGAGGGGAAGGTGTTGGCGGTGCTCGACTGCCCCCGACCTACCACAGTCAAGCAGCTGCAAGCCTTTCTGGGTTTGGTTGGCTATTAACGGAACTTTATCAAACAGTTCTCCATTATTGCCCGCCCCCTCACCGATCTCTTGAGAAATGACCGAAAGGGGATCTGGAATCACCAGCAGGAGCATGCCTTCACCCTGCTCAAGGATGCACTGGCTCACGATGCGGTGATGAGTTTGCCAGACCTGAATCGGCCCTTCGTCGTCGAAACAGATGCCAGCGGAGTTGGCATAGCTGCAGTGCTTCTACAGCAAGGCCCCGACCAACTGCAACCGGTGTCCTTCATCAGCAGGATGCTTACTGAATCTGAGCGACGTTACACCGTCCAGGAGTGGGAGTGTCTGGCAGTGGTCTGGGCAGTAGACAAGTTCAGACCTTACCTCGAGTTTACCGAGTTTGGAATCCACTGCGACCACTCCTCACTATCCTGGATGTTCAGCACCGACCAGGCCTCTCCAAGAGTCGAGCGTTGAGTGCTTCGACTCCAGGGCTTCAACTGCAAAATCAAGCACTGGAGAGGGCTTGCGAATATCCCAGCAGATGCCGTCAGTAGGGCACCTCTCCAGCAGGTAGACATACCTGATCAGAGCCTGCCTGAAACGCTGTTTCCCATCTGTGCACCTGAGTCGGAGCCTCAGATCACCTTTGAGGCAGCTGCAGCAGTGTTCCTGATCGACGATGTCACCTGCTTGAGCGGCAGAGAAAGATTAATTGACGAGCAAAAGCAGGACACTCTTTTGTCGAGGCTCCTGAGTGTTAAAGAAGGCATAAAGCTTCCTGATGATGACCCTGACCGGCGCCTACTGGCGGACTTGGCGGAAACAACCGAAGTAGAAGCCAACGGCCTCCTCGTTCAACTACGCGGGGAAAGAAAGGTGCCCTGGCTCCCTACCCATCTTCGCCCATTGACACTTAAGATGTCACATGACCATCCCACAAGCGCTCACGCAGGTTTTTTCAAAACTCTAAAACGCGTCTCTTCCCGCTTTGTCTGGTTGGGAATGAGAGCTGACGTCGCCGGGCACGTTCGTTGCTGTCAAGTGTGCCAACGCACTAAGCCCGCCGCCAGAAGCCACAAGGGCTTATGAGCATGAGCAGTCAGTGGGCCACTGCACCGATGGAGGAGCTAAGTGTGGACATTGTAGGACCTCTGCCCACCACACCTAGACGCAACAAACACTTTTTGGTGATAATCGACAAATTCAGAAAGTTTATCGAACTTTTTCCTTTACGAACAGCAACCAGCAAAACCATTATAGAGTGCATGGTGCAAGTTTTCTGCCGACACGGCACACCTGTTTCCATCTCCAGTGACAACGGCAAGCCATTCGTCAGTAAACTGTGGCGAGGTCTTTTAAGTCACTGGGGGATCGCCGACCGCCACACTGTGCCATACAGGCCATCAGCACAAATGGTAGAGAGGCACAATGGCACGGTGAAGGAGAGCCTTAGAGCATATTGTTCTACCCACAGAGACTGGGACCAGCACATTCCTGAAATCGCTTTCGCGATGCGCACGGCAGAAAGCGTCGTCACCGGATTTACCCCGGCCTTCCTTTGCTACGGCCGAGAGCTTCGCACCCCGTGGGAAGTGGCGGGACTCAAGGATGACAGCGAGCCACCAGCTTCAGAAAGTCATGCTTTTGCGGCGGAAGTCACTCGGCGCCTGCACGACGCACTCGATTTCGCTCGGGATCACCAAGAGAAAGCAAGGCAGGCCCAGAAAACTTATTATGACCGGCACCGGGAGCCTGCAAAAATACGTCAAGGTGACCTTGTCCTCCTTGATGCCCACACATTGAGCGATGCGGCCAAAGGCCTTACTGCGAAGCTTGCTCCACGCCGCACGGGGCCCTTCCGTGTGGTCCAGTGCCTGGGTGCTAACGACTTTGTGCTTAAGGACCCAGTTACTGGGCGAAACCGACACGTGGCTAACGCGGACCAGCTAACACCGTACCACGAGCCAGTTCCAGATATACTCCCGTCTGGTTCACGTCTCAAGAGGGGGAGACCTGTGAGGAGTGTCTGGCTAAGGACTATGCCAGGCGCACGTGCCGCGCACGTGCCGCGAGAGAACGAACACGGAGTGGGAAAGACGACGAGGACGGACCGGGGGAACGTGCAGTGACATTCTGGGATTAAGGACGGACAGTAAAGGTTCCATCCTAACAAAGTAACTCGCCCCCCCGAGGTCACGCGACCCCCCCCCCCCCCCCCCCGAGGTCACGTGATCCCCCCCGAGGTCATGTGATCCCCCCGAGGTCACGTGATCCCCCCTAGGTCACGTGATCCCCCCGAGGTCACGTGATCCCCCCAGGTCACGTGACCCCCCCCCCGACGTCACGTGACCACCCCTCCCCCGAGATCACGGGACCCCCCGGGGTCACGTGACTACCCGCGGGTGACGTGACCCCCTCAGTACCCTTCCATACTCCTCCTCAAGAGCTGCGCTCCAATTCGGCATTACAGGGATTTGTAAATGGCTTTCATTTTTTTACAGATTCTGTTAGTACGTATCATTGTCCCCAATTGCAAGAGTTTAAAAAAAATCGGGGATGGCTTTTTTTAGCGATTTTCGAAATACTCGGTATCAGAAAAAACTGTGCCATTAGAGAGTTTCTTGTATTTTTTCCCGCTAACCAGGTCATTCATATTTAGTTCAACGATGAACCTCATGCAGGGGAAAAAGCTGGCAAAGGTTGAAAATCCTATCATATTTAGATGTGAAGGAGAAAAAATATCAAAGTTAAGCGTTATATTACGCTATGTGCCATGTTTGCGATCTTTCTTTGCAAACTAACGACGTCAATGGGAAATTGTAGTAGACCGTTTCCGCAGCAGCCCGCTAAGCACCCGGATAGCGCTCCGTAATCCGCCACGAGACCTTGAACTATGCAGAGAAGGCTGGCGGCGCGCATGCGCAGCTGCGGCGTTTTCTACACGGATACCGTAGCGGAGGAGAAAAACGGTCTACTACAATTCCCTAGTACTTCGTGGTAAATACTTTGGGTCAATCCTCCCCATCCGTAATCCACCAATGAATATTTCTAGACCCGAAGTTGTTTCGTTGGAGGTGTCCGAAACGCCAACTACTTGCAATCCGCAGAAACCGTTCCGGACTGAGAGTGTTCTTTTAAATTTATCCCAAAAAGCGTCATTATAATTTTTTTTTTTCTTCGGGGAAAAAGAAAATGTCGGTTTTGTTTTGATAAGTACTCAGTTAAGAAAATATTTTTTCGACAAAATTAGAAATAGTTATTGGACGTGGTCGCTGAACTCTGAAAACAGCAATATCACCTTCGTTTATTTGACTATTTTCACAGGCTCTTAAAGTGTTTTCTCTTCTTTATTATTATTCCAACTATTTTATATAGTTGTAATATTAAGTTTCATTGTATTTTATATTGTTCAAGTTTTTAATTTTCTATTTCTTGGAACCGTATTTGCTGCATGTGGGACTTCAGGTTATAAATTATAGTATGTCCTCACACGTCAGCTATTTCATTATTATAGAAAACTGAGAAACTCAAGCCGTATCCCCATTTAAATTTTGTTACAAGACTTTTATCAGGGACTTCAACAGTTTACTTGAAGTTTAATAACAGGTCTTGTTTGTAAGTGCTTATTTAAAAGTTTATAATTAACTTTGAAACAGAACCCTGGGGAGCCACGCTAATATTGTATTCTCAAACGCACGATGCTGTTTCGGCACTTTTTTGCTGAAACTTACAATAATTATTCAGGGTTTCCTTCTACTTGCAGGTCTTGGAGCCGGTACAGTTAACGCATCCGCAAGTGTTCTGACGGCTATGCATTTCGAGGAACTGAGAGGATTTGCTCTCGGTTGTGTGGCAATTGGTAACACACTAGCAGGACTCGTCTTCCCCCTGCTACTTAAATTACTGACGGAAACCTACAGCTTTCGATATTCTTTCGTTATTTGGGGTGCTTTGGAAATGAACCTTGTTCCTATTTCATGCCTGCTCAAGGTACCACCAGCATACAGGCCCAAGTCAGGTAGAATGTCCTCACCGTCACCCACGATTTCTACGCCATTTGTTGGTGGCCAAGATCCACATAATGGCACCACCCAGGAGAGGTCCTGTAGGGCTGAAGAGCCTGGTCATATGCGCTTCCTAACAAATGTAATGACCCTGGCGCAGAACCCTGTCTTCTACGTACTCATCGCAACGGCATGCCTGTCCTCGATGGTGCAGTTGACGTTATTCACATCAATGATTGACTTCGCCGTGGATCAGGGAAGTTCGATATCTGATGCGTCGTGGCTCACGCCCTGTTACTTATTCTCGTGTTCCTTGGCACATATTAGTTTGCCTCTATTAGCCGACAAAGGATACCAACCACGGGGTGTGGTTCTGACTGAGTGTCTGTTCACCAGCGGTGGTGCACTGTTGCTTCTGCCGCACGCCAGAAGCTTCTGGATTATTCTGCTCCTTGTAGTTCTTCAAGCGGCCGGTTATGCTGGTGGTGAGACACTGCAAGAAGTCCTGACGATCGACTCTTTCGGCATGAACCGTCTGTTCGTCATGAAAGGCATTCTGGGGACTGCTAAGATTCCATTCTTCTTGTGCGCTCCAGCTTTAATTGGTGAGTTTCCTTTTACTACTATAATCGTTAGAGGTTTAAAACGGCAGTGCGCCTCTTTCGAATGTCGATCCTGTCTCAGAACGGCGGATAACTGAAACTCCTCTCTGCCGTTGAATCAACTTGTCGGTGACTACAACTAATCTCGGTAACTTAATTTAAACAAGCTCTGAGCATTATTTTATAGAAGGGAATCTTATATATGCACCAATAGCACAGTTGATATAAAGGGAATATTAAAGCTAAAGTTCTTGCACTTTTAAATGTAGAATAACATTGGCAGCAGAGGGAGGAGAATTCGTTTCTCGTACAGCCCTATGATTTTGTCAATCTTCAATACAAAGGCTCCTAAATGCATTCCCTTGCTGGTCGCTGTAATAACGTTGGCATCAAATTTAACAGCCTTTTTTTAACTGCATGCAGCGTAACTTTATAGAAACGCTCACGCGCCTACTTCACGAAGGACCACCTGGGCCCGTTTGCTTGAAGCCGGTTAAATTTAACCGCGGTTAAAAGTTAACCGCCCTTTCCTACTAGGTACCTAAAAGTACCTAGCCAAGTTTGACGAGGGCTGGATGAGCGATAGCTCCGTGTTTTATTATGGGGTGATAGCTGGTGTCACCTACTGGCTGTAGCGAACATACGTGGCTTCCGTGGAAAGGTTCCCGAAAAGGGGGGACCCAAAAATGCGCGCTGCCTGGTCCTCGCTACGCAGCGCGGCATATATTTGATCTTAAGAAACAATTTTATTTCTCGTCGTAAAAATAATCGGCCAGGTAAAACTAAATTAACCCTTGTTTGGAAATTTTCTAAATATTTGGCTGCATGAAGGGAAGAAAAGCCTCGTGGAAGTTTCCTTTCGGGTTCGAAAGTGGACGACGAAGTTGAGTCCCAGAAACGATGAGAAAGAAGTGGGCAGTGAAAGGCGGGCAGTACACCGGCAGCATGGTTAGCCAGCATGTAAGAACTGTATATAACACCGTCATATATTGAAGAACCTGTAACTCGGCTCCACTGAAAATTGACCTTTTAGTAAATTACGCGAACATCCAGAAGAACCCTGGAAGTGTAATTCTACGATCCGCGCGCGCTGGCCTTCCACTTATAAAAGATTTGAATTAAATAATCATAAAAAGTCTTTAACGAACGCGCGTGCGCGGCAAAATTTGTTTTAGGCTTTTTGCTTCAGAACAGTTATTACTGCAGACGCCAGCAGGTGCAGCGCGTGTAACTACTCTCGTAGCATGCACCTCGGTGCTTTTGAAATTCAGCAAAAGGTCTATGGGAACGCTCTCTGCTTTTGTGTGCTATAAATACCCGGCCGATTGAGTCAAGGCAATCGACTTTCCAAAGACGTTGCCATGCCGACAACTATCGCGTTCATTTAGGCTTAGGAATGGCCACAGTCGAAAGTCCATCTAAAAAATGCGGTGAGGTCATTGCTCATGTTTTGCGTTGTAAGTTGAGGCAAGCCAACCCGTAAACGTCCTGCACCATGCATTGCTGACTTACGTGCCGGCTACTGCAGCTACTACGACGTATTAGTTCCAAAGCGAGCGGCGCTCACTCACCGGGGCACCGCCATGTTTCCCCGCCGTCCTTATTCTGCCGGTCACGTGACCCGAAATTCCCCCTCGTAGAAAAATCCGGTTAACCGCGGTTAGTTAACCAGCTTCGAGGAAACGGGCCCTGGGGAGCTCGACGAATGACTAGGCCGAAAATATGTTTAGACCTTGAAGTGAATTATGCGCTGTGGCGTTGGCCATGGTGTAATCGCGTAAAGCTCATGTCCAGTCTTCCTGCAAAAATTATGGTTTGAACTGTAAACGTTTATCCTGTCGCACCCCCCCCCCCCCCCCCCCCCCGCTCCCCCATTTATAGCAGTGACTGTCTCTCCAGGTCACCTATGGCAAGGCAGGCGCAAAGGCTTTCTTTGGGAGCAAATGTCAGCGTAATATTGCAATTGTATGAAATGGTGGTTTTATAGTTTGACCGATCCGTTTTTCAAGAAACGCTGCGACGTGAATTTGATAGAAGCGTAAAGATTCGGTTTACACTCCTCTTAGTTCGCTGGTCTAGTAATACTTCTTACCTGAAAAGTATAGATTCCAACTACTTTCTAGTATTAAAAAATAAGAACCTTATTTCTAAATTTCGGGTATATCTTTAAACCGTAAGGCGCAAATATAAACATACACAAAATAAAAGGTGTTTAATATTACGTAATGTACTGGCGCTAGATATCGGACTCCATGGTACATTCGAGCGGAAAAGTAAGGGGGTGGGGTAAAAAGTTCAGCATGTCGCAACTTCATGAGAGAAACTAAGGTTGAAAGTACACGTTGCATGCTTGATATCTACATATAGCGTCATATAACTGCTTCAACCCTTCGTGAATCTAAAAGAAAGAAAATGAAAACAAATTAGCTAATTTTTATTGAATTTTAGTGACCGGGAAGTTTCTTGCCACAAGAGTGGTGTGATATCTCCATTGTAAGCAAAACATTTGACACGTGCAGTACGACACCTAGTAGAGAGTCATTACTCGCATAACGCAGCAGTTATACACAACCGCACACCGGTGCTATGCTCCTCCAGATTAAAACGAGTAGGAGTTTGGAATTGAAGACAGTTTCCCTGAGTTTTACAGCGCGAGGTTTTGCTTCGCGTGCTCCCAGCTACGTGGCACTAGCATATTCAGCCACCGGCCACGCAAATAAGATAGGATGTTAATTTTCAGAAGCAAGAATGTTCGCTAAGCCAAATACAATAATAAAACAAGAAGCACGATATCTGTTTGTGATATTCTGCGCGTAGATGGCACAAGTTCATAAGCACGTGATTGTTTGCAGCACGCCAGAGATGACACCTGATCGATTTTTTTTTGTTCCCACATGCACATTTTCAAGCTACTGACCAGTCAAACTGTAATAAAACCTAAGCAGAGAGACTTTCAGGTTTGCTCTTAGAACAAGAACAGCGTTGTTTGGAATATTTTCCTTGAAGTACGGGCAAAGTATTTGGGGTGGTTTTTGAACACTTAAGCTACTGGATACTAGGCAACATGCAAAGTATCTGAAACATGTTGAAGAATATTAAGCGCCGATACTTGATAATTTATAGGCTGAAATTTTGTGTTTAGTTTACATTCGACTGAGGGAAATGTAAATCCAAAGAGTATGAAGGATCGATTCGATATAATATTTAAAGAATCCAGGCATGCTTCTATCGGGGTGTTAAATTGGATGACGTTAAAGTCTTTTTATTGCCTAATGAGATTTATCTGCAAGGTAATATAATAGATAGATAATAGAACGTACAATTTAAGAGCATGTAGAGGATTACCTTCAAGTATTAAAAGTTAGCTATTTTAATTTAGACTGTGAAGTTTTGTTTGACGTAAAATGTTATGCAAAGCTGCGTTCAGTAGAGGCCGTATAAATGACGTAAGTGCCCGATAAAAAATACAATTGCCACAAGATTGCTAGAAATAAAATATAAAATGGTGGTGCTTGACATCAGGAATGTGCAAATTTGAAAGAAGGATATCACAGAAACAGAAAATATGCAATGTGCTTAAAAGCAACACGACATGGCCATAAACAGCCATGGATAGCTAATCATGTGCGTACATAAGGTTTGGGATTTTGTGGACATATTTTCCATCGCTTTCATTATTACCGGGCGGTTCGTATACACAGTGTTTTTTTTTTTTTCTTTAAGCTTAACAGATTTGCTTAAAAAAGCCGTAAAAGCTACACTTATGCAGCTTGTGCCGGTTGGCGATATGGCCTTGGGAACATAGTATATGGGGCTAATCGTGACCATCAGTCGGCTAATTAAGTCAAACGTGTTAATTACTATTTAATTAGTTAAAATGAATGCTTGATTCGAATTCGAAACTTCCTGAGCGTCATTAAAAATAACTAAAGTCATTTTTAGAAGTATGTTGTGAGCGTAGAAAGCTCAGTAGTCTACTAAATGCACAATCTGAGAGACAGGTGTAAGGCTGGGACTATGATAAGAGGCCCAAAAATCGCGCTGTCGCGTTATCGCGGCAATAGAATCTTAGAATTTAGAAAAAAAGGGTCAGTGTATTCCTCCTTAACCGAAGGAATGAGACTTTCACATATCTTCCTTCAGAATTGGAGTAACCTTGCCCCCTTCAACTAGAGAGGAAAGTTCATCCTCCGTCGATTCGGAGAGGCATTTATAAATGGTGGCTCCTAATTGAGCGTCTATTGTAGGTCTTTCCGGCACGCCATTGACGCTCTGCCACTCCCACCAAAACGCAGAGTTCCGGTAGTTACCGAAGAGGCAAATGCCTCCCGCTCACTGGTGGTCCGCCACTGCTTGCTCGGCAACACTCGACACAAAAGCACCGCATTGAGCATCTAGAAGCGACCAAGCTCACCCAAATAGAACCGACGGTTCCAGGGCACGGTGAGCACCAAATGACCACGGAACACGAGCTTTGCACGTCGTATATTGATTGGCAAATACGGCTGCCCGAGCAGGTGAGAAAGTCCGCACCCCAGACCCAATTTCGTTTCGTGAATAAAAACCCATATATGCCGAAACACACCGAGCCACAATGCTCAGTTAATTTCGCGTCACTTACACGTGCCTATTCTCATATCGCAATTTCTCCGTCGCAAATCCTACACAAGGGATACAAAGCTCTAGGGCCGATATGTAATCCCACAACATTCATATGGTGAACCGAGGGGTCCTCTACAACTCGCCAAAAAAATATCCTAGTGGATAATGCACTGTAGAAGCCCAGTCGAACGAAAACAGTTACACGGTCCACGGCCAGATGGAGCGCGCAAGCAGACTTTAAAAGCCCAGCGCTTTAAGCAAACTACTCCAGATGGCGCTGTTAGCGTCCTATTAAATATTTTTATAAAAAAAATAATATCTTAGCCTAGTAGTGTTACAACATACCCAATACGCACTTTCACCTCCACTGTACTTTCACGCTTCCAATCAAGAGACATGGAGAGGGCAAGACGTCGTTTGTTCGAAACCAAGTCACTAGTAGCATAAAATGTGGAACCTCTGAAGGGTGACAGTTTTCGTGAGAAAGGATTGTTGTATTTTAAATTCAGGACAATTTGATTTAGCTAAAATCGCAATATTAGAGCCTAAGGAACTAATAACGGGCTAGACAGCTTCGCTTACGTTTATTGTACATTACTTGAGGGATGCCATAAACAAGTTCACAGATAACACCAGCGGAGTCCATTGAAATACCTTCCGAATGCAGCAAAGGTAAAATGCGAGCAATGTATATAAACGAATGCTCCTTCTTTCTTTACTTTGCCCCTGTAATTGGGCGGTCTCACTTGTGATTCTCACTCCATGGCCCAGACTGTATTTAACGTCTTGCTCGAGTCACCTGCAGCTTTTCTCTTCCAAGTTTTCGTTTAAAAAACAAAAATACAAAAAAAACACGAAATAGTATACATAACTTGCCAATTCATTCAGTCTATCAGCAGCATTCATTGTGTGAGATGCAAATCTATAGTAATGCTCCTGCAATTGCGGCCATTTTCTTCATTTTCATATACAAGCTGCGATCCATGCGATGCCTGCTTTGTCAACCATGCCTGAAATGTTAGTTGAAGTTTCGCCTGCGGCTTCAGGCCGTACCTCAATAAAGCCACATATGAAAATTTACACTTCTTACGAAAGACGCGCACAAAAATAATTAAAAAGGAAAGAGTGCGCCGAGAGCTAACGTCGTCACAGCCTTCACAGGGCGAGAGGGGCGAGTCAGGGGAAAATTCTGTCCTCGCCATGACGTCACCCCGGTTCGCCGTATGGGGGCGCCGCGTGAACTTCTCGGGGCTAATAGTACGTCCCCCTGACTGTAAAACCCATCTGCGCAAACCCCATAAGTGTAGCGCTCATGGCTTTTTTCTGAACAAATCTGAGAAGCTTAAAAATAAAACAACCTGTTTAATAACACTTAGATATGTGATAAATTATTTATACGAATATAAAGTTTATTACGTCAATAAAATGGTGCGTATTTGGTCCCCGGTATCCACCATAAAATTACGAATTCAAGCCTGACATAACATACCAAAAATAGAAATGTTCTAACAAATGTTGAAATTGACTCGAAATGGTACCCTATGAGACAACCCTAATATACTTGAATTTATAATTTTTCAGGGATCTTCCGAGACGTCCAAGGGTCATACGAAAACCTGTATCACCTAGGAGGCGGATTGCTAATGTTTCCTGCCGTTCTGTGGTTAATGGTAGCGTGTAAAAGAAAACAAAAGCACATTTTTGTGCTTCATTGAAATAACGGCGTTATAAAGTTACGTTTTTTTTTTTTTTTTTTTCTCAAAATGAAGCAGAATCACTTGTTATGCTCAAAGTTTGAGAAAAATTCCCAGCGAACTTTATCTTCAAAGTCCTATAATGCATGAAATCCAGTATGTAGGTGCGATCGTTTCAATTGTTTGGAAGACGGCCGTTTCGTTTGTAAGTACGCCATGTTTTTTTTATAAATTCTGGGGAAACTTAATCGGCGCGTCAAGTGACCAGAGATGGGGATGGCGAAGGGAGTCAAGGGGGGAGGGGAGGTGAGCGGGGGGAAGAGGGGAGTAAGAAAGAGGGAGGGGGAGTGGGCATGGTAGGAGGGTGAGGAGAGGGATTGAGAGAGGGAGGGAAGGGGAAGCGAGGAGAGAGTGATGGGGAGAGAACTTGTGTAGCGTCACGTATTTTGAGCAGGAGAGAGGGAAGAAGGGCACTATGGAGGGTATGTGGAGGTATAGACAAAGCGAGGGGAGGGGAGAAAGGGAAAGGCAGGGATTTGGGGGTAGGTGGCGAGTGAGGGTAGCGAGCGAAGGGATGAAGCAAGAGAATATGTGTGTAACGTGACCTAAAATTTCTTGCTGAATTTATGCAAAAATATTCCAAAAGCCGGGAATCATAATGATAAAAAGGTAAAGTCGGAGCAGTTTTGGGTAAAGTCGGGGCAGTTTTTTTTATCATTGCTGAATTTAGCAGAGAAGTTGAATTTAAGGGGTTGTGCAACAATTTTAACGTTGAAAGAATTTGCATCTTCTACTTTTTACATAGTTTATCTTGTCACAAAGGACAGTAAACACATCTCCTTCCTTCGAAACGTTGCGATTTCACCGCGTAATTGCGAGGCAAAAAAAATAGAATATTGCCCGACCTGCAGCCGCGAAGGGCGGCCATGAGAAACACGCGGCATGACGTCAATGGGCGGACTTGCGAAAAGATAGAAAGATGTGCAAATACCTGCTCGATAAAAGGTAATTTTTTTTTATATAAATCTTGTCGTTCCAACATTAATATAAATGCGTCAAAAACCTGGTATCATCGACAAAACTTTTACTATCCGAGGTCAACAAAACCGTCAGCTCTATCTGCTACCGCGAACAGCCGCCAGACGCCGCAGGGGGACGGAGGCAGAGCCGGACTGGGGTGGCCGGACACGTACGAGACTTTCCTCCTTTCGCCATGTTGATCGCGCTGCGCAAGCACGTGGTCACGTGGTCGCGAGCGGGTGAGTTCTCGCTGCTAACTTATGGCCTTAGAGAGAGAGCTACACAGGAACCTCGCGCTTCCCCCTTTCACGTCACAACGCACGTGACTCTGCAGATGGTGAAGGAGTGTAGAGGGGCCTTAAACCTCAATGTCAATTTCTGGAGTAAAAACTAAGGCATGCAGGCAAAAGCGTTTTTTTTTTTTTTTTTTGTTCTTTACTTCAGGAAGGTCGAGACGCGAACTCCCAAACTATTTAAGCAAAGCACTGAAATTGTGGCACAGCTCCTCTAATGTATATGTTACGTGACATCAAGTCACGTGACGCCAATTTAGCGGGGAAATTGGGTTCCTGGTTACGTATCGTGAAGTCAATTTCTTCACTTTTTAGCCGGGAAATTGAATTGGTATCTGGGTCACTTCCCCATACCGTGCCGTTGGTACCAAGACCTCCGCTTCATGACTTTTTCGCTGACGCATCCAACCACGGACTGGGCGTTGTCACGCCAACCGCCGTTTTGGCAATCCTGACGGCACCGGGTCGCCGCATCTTCGAGAGGGAGGCCCTCGCCTGGGCCCTTGCGGCCTTGCTCGCCTCTCGCCTCCCCCCCCCCCCCCCCCCCCCCCTCCCCCCGTACAGTGAACCACACCGACAACCGAGCCCTGTGACTCGGGTCACCTTCGTTCTTTGTGTTGGGAACTTTGTGTTGTATTTTCGTATGTGAAAATAAAGAAGGAGCTGCGCTACAAATGGATCCCTACTGCTGCCAACCCCGCCGACGTGCCCTCACGACTACCGCGCTTCTTTTTAGCCCTCTCGCTCTTGTGATTGGCTGAGGGCGCGTCGGTGGGAGAGGGTTTTCGGGATAAAAGCCGTGGACTCTGCCTCTCCCGGCAGTCGGGATCTAGAGCGTGGATGGGAGAGACGGACCACTCCATCTAGGGTTTAAAAAAAAAGACATAGGATCCAGGAGAATGACAGGACGCACTGGTTCAGCGACATGCTAGTCATTTATTAAAGGTCCTCGCCCTTGCCGCTATTCCAAGAGCATCCGCATCCGCTACAACAGCCTTTTATCAGAGGTGGGGAAACGCTCGCGTGGTCAATTATACTTTGTCCCCGCGTGGTGGAAATGGCTGTGGACGATTTGGCATCCAGGCCACTTGGTCCTACACTTTCGATCCCAGGTTGTACACACTTCACCCCTTCTAAAATATCTTAAAGGGTAACTGCACAGAAAAGAAAGTTTTTTTTTTTTTAAACAGCCTAACTGGGACAAGCATGTCACGAAACAAATGTTTCGCGAAAAAAATATTTTTTTTTTATCAATATTTACGCCACACGACGTAATTTAGTGCAGTCAGAACCTCTCCACATTTGAAACTCCCGCTCTTTCGACCCCCGCGGAAGAGAAGTACGCCCCGCCCCCCACTCTCCTTGTGTTGCGGAGTTGAACAACGCAGCGTCTCGACTTCCGGTAAGATCTGGCAACTACGGCAGGCCGCGGTATTGTTTTGGTTTGACGCGGTTTGCGAGCACATGTAGCAAAGACGTGACCGGGAGAAGTGCCCCTGTGATGTTCCCGGAAGACGGAAAGTATCATTCGTAATCGTCGTGCGTGCTTTGAAAGCGAGGGGAGTCACAGGGTCCACGAGTGCGCAACCACAAGCCAAGGTTCACGACAGCGCTGCGTTGGTTTCGGCGATCTCGTTCTGTTTGGTGCAACACGGCGATGCGACAGGGGTGAAACGTTCGTGGTGTGTGTAATGCGGTGCTATGTGTGTTATGCGGGGTTGACGTACAACGGGTCTAGTCCCGTCGTCGTCAGGTGATCCAGTAAAACTGGTACGGGAGGACGCAGCGAGCGTTTTTAAAAGTAAATCTTCCTTCGTTCTGTTCAAAAATGTGGGAGATTCAAGACGCCTACCGTGAGTAAAAAGCTGCGGGCGTTTTCAAATAAATTACGTCGTTTTAATTGAACAATGGACTCCGAATCGTTGTCCTAAATCTGCCGTTTTTATGCTTCGTGTTGTTGGACTGCGTTTGCACAGCGACGTGTTGCGCTCGTCCTGAGCTGTGAATAAATTTGGGCAAGATTTCGAACCTGTCTACAGATGTATGAACTGATACCCTTTTTTACGTAGTGAACATGGTGCTTTTTTATTTGTGTGTCTAGTTGCGGACGTTAGGTGCACCCGGTGCGAATCTCGATGGCCTCCGGAGCGATATGACGAGAACGTAACTGGACACGTTTGTCGCTACTTGAACGCCCGATTGCCTCCAGCCAAATAGCATTCCTTTCGGGGCGACATGGCTGCTAGAAGGCTCGCTGTCGGGATCACTCATCTGACATCTCCGAAAAGTCGGTATTTGCACGCGCAAGCAAACAAACAAAAAAGCACGCTAAGCAAGCAAAGAGGAAAACGAAAGAACCGCGCTATGAAAGCCAAAACCCCGCGTCGCTTCCTATCACTAACACCTGCGACAGCTGCTAAACACACACTACTTCACTTCAAGAAGTCTCACTCAAGCACCTGGGTCAGCACGAAACACTGATCACTTCGGCGAAACGATTAGTCGAGGTAGGCGAGACAGGCTGGAGCAGAGACTTCGGCGGCCATGAAAGAATGGCGAAGCTTTTGTTTGTTATGGTATGAATCCAAACGGAAGCGCCCGTCTTGTAAACCTTTCGTAAAGAATAATAACTCTCATCACATGGGTTATTCTTTAAACGTAGAAATATGCCGCTCAAAAGAAAATTGCAACATATAACAAAGGTTTAATAACCAAGATCTAAGCTGTCAATCAAACTCTTAGCCAATGAGAAGTATAGGAGCCGATGGGGATGCAACGTCACAGAATCCCAACTTCGTGGCGCGCGATTTAAGACGGGCGAAATAGCCGCAAACTAAAATCAGTCTCACGCAATAAATATTGCTGTAAAAAATGTTTTTTTTTCGCGGAAAAATTGTTTTTTTGACATGCTTGTCCCAATAAGGCTGTTTAAAAAAAGTTTTTTTTTGTTTGCAGTTACCCTTTAAGAGGTATTGCGATGGCCTTCTTTTTGGGTCATCGAGGGTCTCCGCAGATGGACGAACGCCGGTCCGGTGTCCATGCTTCCAGACGGTACCGATGCGACTGTGTTGGGTCTGATGATGGGAGCTGCGTCGCCGCCACAATGTCTCCGGTACGAAGCCCGACAGGAATAACTGGCCACATTCGAGAACGACGCCTACCCAACTGCAATACGGGAACAGGGCTATACTCTCTTCTCCCCCAAAAAAAGGCGAAAGGAGCACGAATATAATGCACTTAAAGCACGTGCTTCTTTCGTCTTGTTCACTGCCGTCGCAGGTTGTAGCTTGACAGAAGCGGTGTGCAATCTTCCGAAAGGTGGTCCGGTTCGCTGCCATATGGAACCTGCGACACATCTGCCTCCTTAGGTTCAAAGACAACTTTAAGATCGGCAACATCAATGGACCCGCGCACTTCACCCGACTTTTCATGCACGAGCTCGTAAGACAGGTTGGAGAGCTTTTTGCGAACACGGTAGGTCTCTTTAGTCCCGTCTCTTTGCTAAAGACGCCATGAAGCACCTACCAGCTTCCCTAACCGGATAAGTTCCACTCAGCAGTATCTCTCCCACCTTGAAAAAAAAAAGCAAATCCGAAGCAACCTCTTGGCTTATCTCAGCACGGTAGCACGAAATTATGGCGTAGCCGCGTAGCGTAAAAGGATGTTAAATCGCTTGCCACCAGATGGCAGGGTCAAGCAGAGTAATCG